ATCCTCAACAACTTCACTGGAAGGCAATAAAGCGTGTTATGAAATACTTCAAAGGTACAATTGATGTTTCATTATACTTCTATGGAGAATCATCAGATGAACTAATTGGATACTGAGATTCCGATTATGCTGGTGAATTAAAAGAAAGAAGATCGACATCTGGATATGTTTTTCTTATTTATGGCGGACTGATTGCATGGGCATCAAGGCTGCAACAGATTACTGCCCTCTCCTCATCAGAAGTGGAGTATATGTCGATCTCAGAAGCATTAAAGGAACTTCTGTGGCTGAGGTCACTTATGCGATCAATAGGACTAAAGCAGACAAAGCCAACAGAATTAAAAGTAGATAATCAGGCAGCCATAGCAATGTCTAAGAATCCAGAGTTGCATAGGAGGACTAAGCATATTGGAGTTCGATTTCATCGCATCAGACAGGAACAGGAGGTTGGGAAAGTCAACGTTACATATGTATCTTCGGACAAGCAAGCAGCAGACCTGTTAACGAAGCCTCTACCCTGGACTACTACATTTCGATGCCTTACACAGATGGGGATGATGTCGAAAACAAGAGGTGTTGGAAACTTGTGTTCTCGATATTATCCATATTGTAATTGTGCCGTCACTGTATAGATGGCGCTGTCCTTGGGCACTATTTTACGTCCCGAGACTGGCTCACTTGCTTGCTTTTTACGTGCCTTACTTTTATTTTATTAACCTATATATCTTTTGTATAATCTCAGTGCACATTAAAATACTCTCATTATACACATTTCTGTACGTCTCATCGTTCATCTCAATCCTTCCATCAAACAATATAAAATTACTTAATGTTAATAATGAAATAACTGGTAATGTTAATTCTAATGTGCAAGTTATATTAAATAATAACATTACTACCTCTATACCTAGCACATCGAATAGATTAACAAGTTTAGATAATAGATTTAAAGATTCAATCATTTTACATGAAGAATCACCTTCAGGTATTATTTTAACAAATGACAAAATACCGAAATCAACGTCTTCTAATATAACTAATAAAAATAAAAAAATAAAGTGGAAGGAAAACTATCGAGCTTTAGAGAAGGGTTATATGAATTTTAACATATCTAATGTTGTTCAATTACAAAACGTTGAAGAACATTATATAGGAGAAATGAATATATATTGTGAACATTGTGGTGCAAAACATTTTAAATCTGAAAAAGTAGCTAATAAAGGAAATTCATTTTATGATTGCTGCAGTCATGGGTATGTTGAATTAGATCCTTTACCGCTACCTCCGTATGAATTATATGAATTATTTATGGGAAATCATTCAAAATCAAATCATTTTTTTAATCGTATTCGTGGTTACAACAATACATTTTCATTCGCGTCACTTAATGCAAAAATATCAGATTTCAGTGCGCAAAAACGTGGACCTTATTGTTTTAAAATTCAAGGACAAATTTATTATCAAATTAATACTGCGTGTTACATCCCGACAAAATTCTCTCTTTCGTTATTATAAATATATGATTCATACCTTAATTTTATTTTATCTCTAGGTTAATATTTCATCATAGTCTTGATATTTCGTCCCTATTTTATCTTTATTTCGAAACCGAAAATTCCGTTTCTCTTTTATAGGGGGGATATATCTTTTTCCTTATTTAAACATTCAAACCAACAAATAGATCACGTTATGTACCTTTATGCGTCACACAGATTATCTATTCTAAAGAATGT